AAATATCTGCACGCGCTTGTAGTTACCACCTATCGTTTAATAAAAAAATAAAAAAAATAATAATAATAATAATAATAAAACACTTATATCACCCATAAAAACACACATTCGGATACGTATACACACACAACAAAAATCCTATATATAGGAATAAAAAGAAAAATTAATTTTTAAAAAATATTTATTGCTGTCTGTGTTAGTTTTTTTTTTTTGTTTTTTTTTTTTTTTGTTCTTTTTGCAAATTTTCTTTAACGGGCAAAGTAAAAAGATAACAAAAAAGCAAATATAAATTTTTTCTTTTAAATTTACACGCGTTAATTATAATATTTATTTAAATAAAAATAGAAAAAAAAAGAGAAAAAAAAGGAAAAATTAATTTAAAAAAAATATTTATTGCTGTCTGTTTTTTTTTTTTGGACAAACTTTTTTTAAAAGACAAAGTTAAAAAAATAGAAAAAGCAAATAAAGATAAATAAATTTTTTTTTTTTTAATTTACACGCGAATTATAATATTCATCTGAATGAACAGAAACATAAAAATACAAAAAAAAAAAAAATTAAAATTAATTTTAAGAAACGTTTATTTATTTTTTATTTTTTTTTTTGCAAATTTTCTAAGACATGAAAAAAAAATTAAGAAATCAAATAAGGATCAAGTAAATGTCTATTTAAAATTGACAACGAGTAAATTATAATATTTGTAGTTGTTAGATTTGAACATTCTCTTACCAGTTGAAATTTCGTATGTTAAATTGCCGGAACAAATCGGAGACACGTTAGACCATGTTTTCTCTCTCGACGTATCGTGTTCCTTCGCCGAAAATTTGTCCGTCTCGCTTTCACTAGTACTCCCCCCCCCTATACGTAAAGCATGCACAACACAGTGGTGGGTTACCCTTGCAACCCTTAAACCCGATCCACCCCTACTGAATTCACCCTATATAACATGCGCACGTGTTCAACTAAAACGCGCTTGTCTCTCTTTGTGTCTGTTTTTCTCTTACCTCCTATATGTATATATGTATGTATATATCTATGTATGTATGTATGTATGTATGTATGTGTACACCTATATATATGTATATATATATTCGCGTGGTTGATTCTCTAGAGACGAGTAGTATAAAGGCCAAGTTCCTCTTAACGTGATCGATCTCAAAAATACGAAATTCTTTTCTTGCAAGGGAAAGAAAAATCACGTGAGAAATTGAACCTCTTTTTCTTTTTTTTTTTTTTTCTTTTTTTTTAATTTTCGTGTTATTATGATAAATACAAAAAAAAAGGTATTTTTTATAAATTTATCTTTGACCATGTGGACCATAATTGTCCAGTCATCCATTTTTTTAAATTTTGTTTTTGATACGATTTAATACACAAACGTGGGATGAAAAGTTTTGAACCCATTACACAACGAAATATATTTATTAATATTTTTTTTTATATTATATTATATTATTTATATAAAAGTTAGTTTAACCAAAAAGATTAAAAAAAAAAAAAACAATGTTTCAATGTTAGCTTTGAAATTTATAATTCCATTCACGTATATATACGTCTTCCTTATGATATACTTAAAATATAATTATTAATTTTTATTTTTTTTTTTTTTATATTATTTATATAAATGTTAGTTTCACCAAAATGTCAAAAAAAAAAAAATGATGTTTCAATATTAATTTTGAAATTTATAATTCCACTCACGTATATATACGTCTTCCTTATGATATACTTAAACAAAACATATTTATTAATTTTTTTTATTATTATTTATATTATAATTTGTTTAACCAAATTACAAAAAAAAAATAAATGTTTCAATATTAGCTTCGAAATTATATGTATATATATATATTTTTTTAAAAATAATTTTTTATAATTTACTTAATTTACTTATGAAATAAAACTAATTAACATACAATAAATGTGATATTTTCTTGCAATTAAAAATTCTACATCGATGATATTTAAATAAAAATATAAAATGTACCAAAAAAAAAAAAAAAAAAAAGTATGATATCAAAATGATGAAATAATCATTTATTATTAATTCACATATTACGTTTGATAACAAATAAATGAATTTATGTGTGTATCATTTCTTTTTCTTTTTTTTTATTTTAATTTTAATTTTTTTTTTTTTTTTAAAGAAACCCATAAAACATTGACAATTAAGTGTTTGATAAGAAACTAATTACATCTATTTAAAGATCCAACGATTGATATTGTTAAGTATAACTGTGGCGTATACGTTGAAAAAAAGAAAAGATTAAAAAGTTGTATCGTTAATCGTTAGTTGTAATTACTTCGTGTCGGTAGTTAATCAGCCATTAATGCCGGGTAATTAGTACAATCGTTAAGACTCTCTTTGGAATTGTTTGAGAATTTCTAGCGTTTATATCAAAGTCAAGTTACTAAAAAAAAAAATACTTTTACACTGCATTATAAAAAAAAAAAAAAAATGAAAGTGTTAAGAGACAGAGAGAGAGAGAGAGAGAGAGAGAGAGAGAGAGAGAGAGGTGGGGGATGAGAGAGAAAGGGAAAGAGAATGAGAAGTAACGAAAGATTTGATTTATCAAAATGAAATTAATTGAATAATAATTAAAAATTTGTCCAAATTTAATTCATTTAATATTGCAACAAAATATTATTTATTATTTAATATTATAATTATTATTATTATTGTGTATTATTGTTTTATTTTATTAACAATCATTATAAATTATATTACATAATATATTATGTTTTTCAATGATAAATGATTTGTCTTTGATAAATAGCTAAACTATTTAATAGATTTAAATAGAAAATGTATTTATTTCATTTAATTTTTTTGTTACTTAAAAGATAGATTAGTTTATTTAATGATTTATCATTTTTTTTTTTTTTTCAATAATCTTTTATCAATGAACATTATATTCTTCACAATAAAATAAACATTGATATTAATTATTAATCATTCGCTTGATCATGACAAAATTATTATGGATAAATATTTTCATAAATTTCTTAACAAAATATTCCTACTTTTTTTCTAATAGTTCCACGTTTTTCTTTCTTTATTTTTTTAATTTGATTTTTTTTCTTTTTTTTTTTTTTTTAAATTGAACAAAGTTAATAATTAATTTGAATATTCAAACGAATGATTTAATCCAACATTAAAAATATCAAATGTAAAATAGCAAATGCATACTATTGTAATAATAATACTAATAAGGTTATTTTTTCTCTCGTTCTGACTATTTTATTTTTTTCTTCTTATCTATTTTTTAAGAAGAAAATAAACAAAAAAAAAAAAGAAAAAAAGGAAGGAAGAATGGGTCTTTTTTTCTCCAGGGGAAAAAAGGGGTGGAGAAGAAAGAAGGGGTGTTATATAAATATTCTATATACCGGGGAACCTCGTCGAGGTCAACCACGAAACAGAGAAAAGACTTTCAGAAATATATATATATATATATGTATATATAAAAAACTTCTTGCTTCTTTTACGATGAGAAGATCAATATCATCAAGCTGCGTTCGATCGATTATTCGTTCTCTCTAATGCCACATTTTTTTTTATTTTTTTTTTTATTTCATTTCATTTTTCTTTATTTTTTTATTTTTTTTTATTTTTTATTTCGTTTCCAATTTTTTTTTTGTCACCCCTTATATTTTTATATTAAACATTATCTATATTAGTAATGTGAATTTTGGTCAATCATTTTTTTGTTTTTGTTTCGACTCTTTCTATTATTTATAATTATTTTGTCATTATTTAATATAAATATAATAAATCATGGAAAAATTGTTGAAGGAAAGGAATGATTTTACGCTTAAAAAAGAAAAAAATATGTCCAACATATTAATTATATTTAATTATTTATATATAAAAATTCAGAATTTCTATTTTCGAAAAAATCATACTTTAAATATTTTTAAAAGAACTCGCGGTTAGAACTGATTGAAAATATATTTTGTTTACGTTTATATATATATATATGTGTGTATGTGTATTGTCTTCACTTATGTTATTATATGTTTACGTTTGGCCTTCAACCGGTCTGACTATAGTTTCATTTATTTTAGTCTACTTCTAAACGTCGAACTATAAACAACGAGACGCTTTACAATCAGTTTTGTATCATAGATAAAGATTTTTCTTAATATTTGTTCATTTATATATAAAAATATTATACAGAGATTATTATAATTTATCCGATAATTATGATTATGTTAACATAAGTTAACAAACTAATATATAAATTAATTCAATAATTATTTATTATAATATAAATAAAAATCACATTAGCAAATTTTTCATTTAATCAACTGTCATAATTATCGGTAGAATATAATTACGATTTTTTTTTTTTTAATGAATATCATAAACTTCTAATGATTAGAATGAAAATCCTTTTAACATAGAATCATCTGATTTTTTCGAAAATAAAAAATAGAAAAAGAAGGGCCTTCAAATTAACAAATGTTCCTCACTTTTTATTCGACTTATTTTTACGCTTAAAATCATCGTAAGTTTCAGGATACAACATCCTGTTTTTAATTCAATGTTTATATATATATATATATATATATATATATATATAAAATAAATATTTATAAAAATATATGTGTACACATGTGTGTCGGTCGTGTATTGTCCATGAAAAAACGTAACATTGATTCACTTATTGATCCATGACAAAAAATGAGTGATTAAACCATTTTCTCTTTTAAATGTATTATTTTCATTTTATTTCGAATATCATTATATATCCTTTGTAATATTAAACAAAAATAAATCAAATTGAAATAATATAAATAATAATAATAATAATAAAACAATATTAACAGGTTAAATGAATTGATTAGAAAGTTTTCGAGACAATATATTTATCTTTTGTGATTAAATATATCAGACAATTTGAAACTTGCAATTTCGTGTTTCACGCGACACACGACTAACACAAGGAAACACACTATACACAGCACACCTAACATGACCGATCGGTCTGATCTGACAGATCGTTACCTGTCCCCAGGAGGCATACACCGTACTTCGGACAACCGGACTACAGGCTCTACGAACTGAACAAGAGGTTACAGCAACGCAATGACGTGAGTATTCAATTTATTTATATATTATATACATATATATATTTATAATCATATTATTATTCAATTATCAGATAAGAAATGTTTCCTTTTTAATTTTTTTCATTCCATTCATTCATTATCTTTAATTATTCGAACTTGAAACAAGTTATGTTTTTTATTTTATTAACACTTTCTTGACCAGCTATTTTTTTTTTAAGAATTTATCTCATGTCACCGGTTATTATTTTGTAATTGAATTGACAAGTAAAACAATATAAGTAATTTTTAATAAATTTTACTTATTATTAAACTTTGAATATTTCTTCTTGGTATGATGAATAGTATAACATTAATACAAAAAAATTTGTTACTATTGTAATATTTATTTTCGCTGTGTTTTCCTTTTAAATAGTGTGATGCAGAAAAAAAAGTGCATCACGAGTTAACTCGTGACCAGTCAGCAATGTTCGGCTACAGAAACACGAGTTAACTCGGGACCGGTCAACAAAGTGTTAATAAGATCGACAATTAAATATTTCGGTACGATCGTTGTGATTTTTCACATTCTAACTTAAGTTTAATTTAAAAAAAATAAATATCGGTTTGTTTATCGATTAACAATTTTTACGAAATACTTTAATTTCATTTATATTTCACGCAATTAAATTGCAAATTATGTCTTAATTGCATCTATCTACTATCCCCCACTACCACCACTGTCATTGTCATGCGCGAAATAATCAAACTTAGCCTAACTTAACTTACCTAAACTTAACTTAACTTTTAAACAAATGTTCGCGAATCAAAAAATATTTAATGGAGAAAGTTTTTACGAATAAAGTTAGATCGTTCTATAAAAATACAAAAAAAATAAAAATAAAAAAACGGTGAAGAAATAATTGAGATGTGTAGTTCGAAAAAAAAAAAAAAAAGCAAACTTAACTAACAAAATTTATTTTAAAAAAAGAAGATGACAACGACAATGATAAAATTATCTCAATGTTTAAATAAAATTCTTTAAAATGTGTTTGTGCTCCTGTGCAAGTTAATTCATCTCAATGTCAATTTTTTATAAATTTATCCTACGTAATAATCCCGCCATTCTCTCCCACCACCTTCTTTCGTCTCTCCCACTCCTTCGATTTCTCCCCACTCCATCTCTTGCTTATCCCCTCTTCAATCCCTTCTCTTTTCTTTCATTATTTCTTTCTTTCCTTAGTTCTACTATCTCTTTCTTTTTAACACGTTCATTCGACACGCTGAAAACTCGGTTATTCGAGTCACGCGCGTTTATAACCCGGTACATTATAAAATTATCTGGCCCATATACCCGCCGATAGATAAACTCGTCGCTTCTGAGAGATTCTCGATAATAGCGATAAGATACGATCCGCATTATTGTTCGCGCACATGTCGCTCTCTTCGCGCTTCGTTGCCTCTCTCTTTCTCTCTTTTTATCTTACTCTTTCTCTCTCTCTCTTTTTCTCTCTCTCTCTCTCTCTCTCTGTATTTTCTCGTCGAGGGATTAAAACGGGATATGCCTGCTTGACTCCTCTCCTCGAGTAAGATTCCTTTTTAATCTGATCAAATCGTATACACATATACGCATATAAATAAATATATATTTATTTTGGTCTTCACATATATAGTGTAGACAATATATTTGTATTTTATTATATGTGTATTAATATATATATATATATAATAAATATCTGTAAATATAATGTTTAATATATTATATGAATTTTTTTTTTATGTTATGTTACACACAAATATTATAATATTTATGTTTTATATAATTATAATATTATATATATATTTATATATAATAATTAATTATATAAATATTGTTAAATTATGTTACACAAATATTATAGTGTAAAAAATTCTATATTTTTATTTTATATATTTTATTTTAATATTTATTATTTTATATATATATATATTATATTATATTATATTATATATATTTTAAAAAATTTATATTTTTAAAAAATAATAATAATAGTATTTTAAAAATATTATAGTATTAATATTTTATATAATTATTATATATATATAATAATTAATTTTATAAATATTGCTATATTATATTACTCAAGTATTATAGTAAAATATTTTTAACATATTAATAATAACTTGAAATAATAATATAGTAATATTTTTAAATATTATAGTATACAATATTTATATATATATATATATATATATATAGAATTTCAATGTAAGTTGTTTGGATATCATTTTCCAAATTATTTAGTTTACCTACATACCAATTCATCCAATTAACAAGATTTTCCTCGGCATTTTGCATTATTAATAATAATAATAATAAAAATTAAAATAATAATAATAATGATAATAATAATTGAGAATGAAGATAGATTTTTCATAGAATAGTTTCCTCTTGTTCGTTGTACAAAATACGATCGGGGGTTTGAGAGAGGGCAGGTATCGTTCGAGAATTGTTTCGTTCATATAACTTTCACGTTTTCTATATATTATACTTCGTTAAAGTCGAGTAATTTTAAACGTAGCAGAATGAAAAATAAAAGAAAAATGAAAAAAGAATGAAAATAAAAAAAAAATAAAAAAAATAGAAATAGGAAGTAAAGGAACTATTTGATACTCGTGTGAAAAAGAAAAGTGTAAGTTAATTTGACGTACGTGTTAATATTTCAAAGTTAACTTACATTTTCTTCTTTTTTTTCTTTTTTCTTTTTACTTAAGAACAATTATTATACAGTAAGAACAATTATTATACAGTATATTTTTTTCTAACGTGTTGATTATCATTCAAATAAGTAAAAAATTGGATTGAAATTGTTTCGAAGTGTTTTTGTAAATTTCTTTTCTTTTTTTTATTAAATAATTAACGCAATGATTAATAATTAACAATCATTGATAACAAAGTTTTTATTTTCTTCTTTAATTGTTGTTTTTTTTTATTTTAATTCATTTCTTTTTTATTTGCTTTTTTTTTTATTTTTCATTTAATTTCATGTTTATCTCGTTATTACGTAAGAATGATCTTTCTTTTCTTTTTATTCTTTTTTTTTTTTCTTGCTTTCTGGACAGGTTTGAAAATATTTTCTTTTCACATTTTATTAATACAACAGGTATATGACAAATTACGACTTTTACGTTTGAAAATGTCTTACGTTATTTCGATAAGCTCGAGAGTTGTTCGCGCGCATGTTTCACAAAAGTATATCTTTATCTTTCATTCGTGATAATGCAAACAGGTATATGTTTTCGGTATATATTACCTAGTTTTAGTTTTTATTTATTTATTAATTTTCTTTTTTATTTTTACGATAGCTTTAAAATCCCAATGAACGTCAATGAATTTTTTATATTAAATATATGTGAATTATATTTATATTATAATTTAATATGAATACTTGTGTTCTCTTATAAATAAGTTTATTTTGAAAAATCAATGCACATGTAACATTTATAATTATCGATGCATATTATTATTATTATTATTATTAATATTGTTATTATTATTGTAATTACAAATAACAAACGCATGAATGATTACTATAACGCGAATGATAAAAGGTATCTCCCTATGTTATAAATAATAATATAATAATAATATTTAATATTTATTTAATCACTTTTATTGAGATTACAAAAAATAACAAGAATTTTGCTATCGCGTTATGTCGTTTTTTTTTTTTTTTAGAATTCGATAAGGTTTGTTAATTTTTCGAAAATTTATAATATTTATAATATATTTGATTTGATGAATATTTTGTAAAAACAAATGATCAACGTATGTTCGTGAAATATTTGTGTTAAATTAGAAATCAAAGTTTTTCCAAATATTCCTAATTACCACAACCCCCTTGTTAGGTTGTACAGGGTCGCAAAAAAATTCGTTTGGTTAAAAGAAGTGTCTTGTCAAATGAAAATAATTTAATTAATAATTTAATTTTAATTTAATTAATAATAAATAATTTGTTTAATAATTTATTATAGTATTGATTAAATATTAAGATGTTGGTGGTTGAAACTTTTTGTCGGAACATATTCGAATATTGGGGTGTCATTCGAATATGAGTAATGATATAAGGGTTGGGGTTAATATTAATTATATTCATATGTTCATATTTCAATTTCTAAAGTCGTTTTAAATAAATAAATATTAATATAAAATTAAATACAAATATTATAAATTATTATTATATATATATATTTATTATAATTATTATTAATTATGTATTATTTATATACGTACAAATTATATAATTTAAATAAAATAACAAAAATATATAATATAATAAAATATATACACTCTATATTACATATCTTATATAAATTACGTGTCACGTTGTTTGTCCGCAATGGACTCCTGAACTACTGAACCGATTTTAATCAAATTTTGCACACTCTATGCAGTTTCATCCAACTTGAAAGATAGGACAGTTTATATCTCAATTTATAATCGCAATATTATTTTATTGCGAATTATTTGTTTATTAACAAAGAGTCATGATAATCTCTGTTAGTTCGTTAAGATTCTAACAGATGGCGATATAAGGTAATTCGTTGACTTAAAGACGTGTATATCGGACTGATTGTGAGCCACAGCAACGCGTGGCGGGGCACCCATAGTAAAATATATATTTGTCAGAAGAAAAAGCAAAAAAAGGGAAACAAAATCATCGACATTAAAAGGCTGGGAGGTTGATAGTTCGTTCGAAGGGTTAAATTTACCCCAAAAATAAAGAAATAAAAAAAAGTAAAAAAGAAAAGAACAATTAATTGATTATTTGATTTAATGTCAATCAGTTTACGTTCGAAAAGCTTAGTCGAAATCTCAAAAGAAGAACTTTTGAACAACCCCCGACGAGTTGAGGGCTATTCGTAGGCAGGCAAGCAAGCAAGCAAGCAAGCAACCCTACTCACAGGGAGTCTAACAAACGACGTGGCGTGTCCCACGCTCGTAAATCATCTTTTCCTCCTCCTATCGTCAAAGATCTCGTACGTTGTCAGCGTGCATGTGCACG